CGAACAGAGAACTATAGTTAAACAAAGCCTGTGGGGCCAGGTGAGTGCTAAGCTCACCCCCAAGATCTGCAAATAACGCCGCCGCAACAGCAGGCTTGACAGGCAGTGGGCAGGTGAGCCACAGCTGCAGAAAAACCATTCTCAGAAAACTGGTCTCCAGGACTCTTTTTTTTTTTTCTTTGTCTCCCTACCTTTGCTGAGAAATACAACCGAACTACACCTTGCATGCTTGAAAAACTTACTGAAATGGTTATTGCATTTTGGAACTTTTGGGACACTTGGTGGGGTTTTTTTATTTATTTTTTGTGCAGTTTGTTCTACTTTATGCGTTCCCCCTTTGATGAGGACAACCTACAGAACAACATCTGAGGGCACCACTCTCCAGGACTGGAGACTGAGACGGATACCAAAATTATTAAGACTGAAACTTCAGTTGCATTTGAACTGTGGAGGTTTTTTAAAAATTTTTTTATTTATTTTTCTATTGTTCATTTGTGTTTTATTTTATTTATATATTATATATGTACTCATCTTACTTATTTTTTATTTTTATTCTTTATCTTTATTCTTTTCATTTTTTATTTACAATCCTCTCTCTGTCTCTCTTAAAGGGCCTGGTTCAGCTTACTGTCGATGAGTTACACTTTTCTTTGTTTGATCTCCTTGTTTTGTTTTTCCTACTTGTCTGTTTGTTTTCCCTTTTCTTTAACTTCTTGCTTTCTATCTCCTCTCACCCTTCCATTCTAAATATCACCATTGTTATTATTACAAGTTAGAAAATACTTAATTTTGCACACAGTACAGGGACAGAGTAACAACACCAAAGACAATGACGGGAAGGACAGTAAAAAAAGGGAAACCAGTTTTCCCACAGCAAAAAAATTAGTTTACAGGAACCAGGAGTGAATGGAAGAAAACAAAAACTCAGATCCAGCTCCAACAAAATGAGATAAAACTATCCAAAGAACCCAATGAAGCCCACAAGAATAATAAAAGAAGACATTAACTTACAGTACTCAATGAGAATTTTGGTCAACCAAAATGCAATAACGATTAAAAACAACATGGTACTGGGACCACGAACAATGAAGACCAAGACTGAGATAGAAAGAACGGGGTGGAGAGCGGGGGGTGGACGGGGGTGCGGGGAGGGGGGGGATGGGGCGGGGGGGAGGGGGGGGGGGGGGGGTGGGGTGAGGGGGCGGGGGGGCGCGAACGAATAGAGGACCCAGATATGAAGCCACACAACTATAACCAACTTGTCTTTGACAAAGGAGCTAAAAATATGATGGAGAAATAGCAGCCTCTTCAACAAAAACTGCTGGGAAAACTGGTTAGCAGTCTGCAAAAAACTGAAACTAGATCCATGTATATCACCCTATACCAAGATTAACTCAAAATGGATCAAGGATCTTAATATCAGACCCCAAACTCTAAAGTTGATACAGGAAAGAGTAGGAAATACTCTGGAGTTAGTAGGTATAGGTAAGAACTTTCTCAATGAAACCCCAGCAGCACAGCAACTAAGAGATAGCAGATAAATGGGACCTCATAAAACTAAAAAGCTTCTGTTCATCAAAAGAAATGGTCTCTAAACTGAAGAGAACACCCACAGAGTGGGAGAAAATATTTGCCAGCTATACATCAGACAAAGGACTGATAACCAGAATATATAGGGAACTTAAAAAACTAAATTCTCCCAAAACTAATGAACCAATAAAGAAATGGGCAAGTGAACTAAACAGAACTTTCTCAAAAGAAGAAATTCTAATGGCCAAAAACACATGAAAAAATGCTCACCATCTCTAGCAATAAAGGAAATGCAAATTAAAACCACACTAAGATTCCACCTCACCCCTGTTAGAATAGCCATCATCAGCAACACCACCAACAACAGGTGTTGGCGAGGATGCGGGGAAAAAGGAACCCTCTTACACTGTTGGTGGGAATGTAACTAGTACAACCACTCTGGAAAAAAATTTGGAGGCTACTTAAAAAGCTGACATCGATCTACCATTTGATCCAGCAATACCACTCTTGGGGATATACCCAAAAACTGTGACACAGGTTACTCCAGAGGCACCTGCACACCCATGTTTATTGCGGCACTATTCACAATAGCCAAGTTATGGAAACAGCCAAGATGCCCCACCACTGACGAATGGATTAAGAAAATGGGTATCTATACACAATGGAATTTTATGCAGCCATGAAGAAGAACGAAATGTTATCATTCGCTGGTAAATGGATGGAATTGGAGAACATCATTCTGAGTGAGGTTAGCCTGGCCCAAAAGACCAAAAATCGTATGTTCTCCCTCATATGTGGACATTAGATCAAGGGCAAACACAACAAGGGATTGGACTTTGAGCACATGATAAAAGCGAGAGCACACAAGGGAGGGTGAGGATAGGTAAGACACCTAAAAAACTAGCTAGCATTTGTTGCCCTTAACGCAGAGAAACTAAAGCAGATACCTTAAAGCAACTGAGGCCAATAGGAAAAGGGGACCAGGAACTAGAGAAAAGGGTTAGATCAAAAAGAATTAACCTAGAAGGTAACACCCACGCACAGGAAATCAATGTGAGTCAATGCCCTGTATAGCTATCCTTATCTCAACCAGCAAAAACCCTTGTTCCTTCCTGTTATTGCTTATACTCTCTCTCAACAAATTAGAGATAAGGGCAAATAGTTTTCTGCTGGTATTGAGGGGGGAGAGAGAAGGGGGGAGTGGGTGGTAAGGGAGGGGGTGGGGGCAGGGTGGAGAAATGACCCAAGCCTTGTATGCACGTATGAATAATAAAACAATAAACAAAAAAGAAAAGACTAATCATTGATATACCCCTCAAGACATTCATTAGATGGGTGTGGAATATAAATATCCAGACTCTCACTGACAAAGTCCACATTGTAGATCTTAACACATATTAAAGTAAGAGAATATACTAAGCTGCTTTATTCCATAGTACAGTTATCAAATACATGCAACAAAGAACATCCAGATGAGCAGTTAAGACAGCAAAATATTTCCTCACAACAGACTGTCATTCAGCAGAATGACTGAAATGGGAAAGACTGATGATGCAGGTATTGAAGGGATGTGTAGACAGAGACCACCGTACTGTGCCAGTGGCTGTGTGAATTGGTGTGCCACTTCAGAGAGCTGAGGTAGAAATGTGTGATCTGTCATACTGTTTTGTACTCTCCAACTAGGTAGAAATTCACACCAAAAGCTTTGTGCAGAAATAATGGCATTATTATTATTACATTTTTTTTGTGGGGGGGACAGGGTTTCACTATGTAGCCCAGGCTAGCCTTGACCTCCACTTCAGCCTCCCAAGTGTTGTGATTGTAGAGTTGTGCCGTATACCTGGCTTATAACAGCACTATTTATTTGTTTGTTTGTTTATTTATGGCAGTAGAGGGGTTTGAACTCGGCCTCTCTGCTTGGAAGGCAGGCGCTCTACCACCCAAGCCATCCCTCAGCTCTTGTGCCTTAGTTATTTTGCACATAGGCCTGGGTGTCTGCATATCTGGGACCACAGGCACCTGCCATCATGCCTGACTTGTCGGTTAGATGTGGTTTTGCTAAGTTTTTTGCCCATGGCTGACCTCAGTCGTGATCCTTCTGGTCTCTGCCTCTGAAGTAGCGAGATTGCAGGTATCAACTACCATGCCTGGCTAATGATGCTATTTTTAATGACCAAAACCAGCTAAATGTATTATATAAATAGTAGAATGGGTGAATAAGTTGCTACATATAAATGCAAGGGAATACGTACAATATTGGTTCTTAAAGTGTTGTTTCTACTCACTTCACATCAGTCCAATAGTAGCACCAAGATCACCTGGGAATTTTTTTTTCTTAGTACTAGGGGTTGAACTCAGGCCTCATGCTTGCTATTTTACAGTCCTGGTTTTTGTTATTAATATTTAAGTTGATGTTCAAAGGGCTGTCTCAATGTATGCCCACTGTGGGAGTACTTTACTTTAGTCCATTCAACCCCTTCCATTACTCTGTCTTGCCCCTTTACCTCCCACCCCGTTTTTCAGTAGCTTTCAGTACACATCCTTATGTCCTCTACCTTCACATATTAGGTTATATGATATTACTGATGCGCTATCATTCCCTTTTCCTTTCCTGCTTTCTGAGTTTCATAGAGTATTTCCACTGTCCATAAACGTCGTTCTAGGTTCTGAATTTTTGTATTTGGTCACAAACTGTTTTGGTGTATATTGTTTATCTGTAGATATGTCTTCCACATATGAGTGAAGACGTGGTTTTTGTGTTTCTTTGATTCCTGGTTACTTCACTTAATATTGATGTCCTCCAGTGCATTTCCATTTTGCTTTCAAACCCCATGTCGTTACTGCTTATTGGGCTGAATAAAACTCCATGTGTATATACACCACAGTTTCGTGGATCCATTCACCAGTTGCGAGCACCTGGAGGTTTCCAGAGTTTTGGCTATGTGAAATAGTTGCTGCATGTTGAACCAATCGGGTACAGGTGTCTCTACTGCATCCGGTCTTTTTTTTTGAGTTCCCTGCAGATTCTGGATATTAGTCCCTTATGAGATGAGTAGCTGGCAAAGATTTTCTCCTATTCTATGGGCTTTCTCTTGAGTCTGGTGACTGTTTCCTTTGCTGTGCAGAAGCTCTTTAGTTTGATGCAGTCCCATCATTATATATTTTCCTTAGTGGAGTCATCAGTTAGTGTTACTGAGATTCAGACCTAAATTTTGATAGAGTGATCTGAGAAATAAGATTCTAACCAAAAAACTTAGTTGCATGTACTTTTTAAAGTACACTGTATTCACTGTATGGAGATTGTTCATCTGAACTTATACATCCTTCCATTATGTGAATTGGTGATTAACATCATTTAAAAGCTTAGACTGTTCTTTTAGGTGTGGTAGAAAGCTTTTTACTACTTGTTGTCAAGTACCTCTCATTTTCTGCAAGATGGGTAAATGGCTGGTTGTCACTTGGTTTGCTAGGAGGAGTATAGAGCTGAAGGCATCAGCTGGCGCAACATAGACTACACTGATAACACCTGCTGCCTAAGCCTTATCAGCAGAAAACCAACGGGGCTGCTCCACCTTTTGGATGAAGAAAGCAAGTGAGTATGATCCTTCTGATTTTGTTATTGGCCATTGGACTTTTTATGTCTTGTTGAGTGTAAACTTTCTCCTTATATTTTCAAATAAAGAGCTTTGTATGCAGGGTTTTTTTATTTTGTTTTTGGTGGTAATGGGGTTTGAACTCAGGGCCTTATGCTTGCCAGGCAGGTGCTCTAGACCACTTGAGCTATTCCACCAGCTATATGCAGTTTTTTTTTTTTTAAAGAAATTTGTACATTTCTGGGTGAATATGCTGGACTTCACTTTTGAACTAATTTTTTCCCCAGATTTCTTTTACATACTTTGATATTAAATTGACTGACATATATTTACTTTGGGCATGTGTTCCTTCTTGAATTGACTTTTCTATAGGAGATATGTTTGCAGCTTTCATGTCTAGCAGAAAACAGTATCATGATAGATTAGTGGTGTCTGCCGTGACTGTGCCAATTTATACCTGATATTTGTTACCACTTGTCAGCACTGTCCAGTGTGGAAACATAAAGTAAGGCCCAGAAAGCCTCAGGCAGCACCTGTCACAGTATTGTCTGTGCTATAGAGTGAAACTTGCCTCCTAGATGATAAATACAGAATTGGAGGCAGGCTGAAATGAGGAGATCATATAGATTTTTAATGAGTCTTTATTATACAAAGAGTAATAGGAGCTGCTTCTAAAAGTTAAGCAGTTCCCCATTTGGATAATTATTCAAACTATTATTGTAGGTAGGTGACTGGACTAAATAACCTTTTACTCATCCATTTATGTTTCTACAGTTACTCGTCCACAGAAATGTTGATAAGCCATAATACAATTTTCCTCATTATGTGAGCCTAGTCCCGCATCTCCCCTTGTTAATGGGCCATTTTTGTTTTATAGAGGAGAAAGAAATTACATCTTATGGGACTCTAGCTTGGCGTAAGAATTCAATTTAAGACAGATTAACAGGAGAAAAGCATACACATTTTAGTAGAATTTTACATGTTTAATGGGGTGCTCACATGAAAATGAGGTCCCAAAGAAGTGCTTTCAGCAGCAAGCTTATATTCCTTTTATCACACTTATTTATTTATTTTGGCACTAGTGGAGGTTGACTCAGGGTGGACCTTATGCTTGCTAGGCAGTCACTAGCCACTTGAGCCACGCCACCAGCCCTTTTTGCTTTGGTTGTTTTTTAGGTAGTGTTGTGCATTATGTTCAGGGAGGCTTGGACCATAAACCTCCTATTTAATGCTCATCCCTTTGCTGGGATGACAGATGTTCACCATCATGCCCAGCCATTAGTTGAGATGGGATCTTGTGACTTTTTTGCTTGGGCTGGCCTCGAATTCCAATCCTACCAGTCTTTGCCTCCTGAACATCTAGTATTACAGCCTTGAGCCACTGCACCTGGCAACCTATGTACCTTTTAGGACCCCCCTCCCCCCGCCAAAAAAAAAGATCATGAAGAAATGTCAAGACAAACGGTTTGAGGTAGGAACATTAAATTGTGGAGAAGTGAGTAAGATACTTTGGAAAAAACTAGTAGAAGTGAAGAGTTTTTTTGCTAAAGTTCTTTTGGGAAGAATTATTTGGGACTCAGACTGAGTACTTATTTTCTCTAAATATTTTGTTCTGTTATAAATATATAATGTACGTTATATCTGTAGTGGTGTTTGTACTTCATGCAGTGAGTTTGTAGCACTGTAGGTGCATGAATTTGGAGTCAGAAGTCTTGGTTAATCTTGGCTATACTAGTTCCTGACCGTGTGATGTTGGCCCAGTTATGTAAGTTAGACTGTGTAGGATGCAGTGTGGCATTTAGGAAGGAGTAATAGTGCAAGCAGAGCCTCAGAGTTAATGAACAAATAGTGGTAGCAGTGCTGTTGGTCTTTACTATCATGTTCAAAGTTTGCTGCTGAGAGCAGCACTGAGCATCTCAAAGCTTGTTAAAAATGCAGACTGTCAGGTTTCCAGTTCATATCTGAAGCATCAGAAACCTCCTTTATTAGAGACTAAAGATAGAACATTCCTTTAGAGTAGCATTTTGTCAGTCTTGTATGCTCATAAGAATTACCTTGTGATGGGCTGGGGGAGTGACACAAGTGGTAGAGCGCCTGTCTAGCAAGCGTGAGGTCCTGAGTTTAAACCTCAGTACCACCATCAAGAAAAAGAATTACTTCATGGAAATAGTATGCTAGCTCACCATGGCCATCAATTAATCTAGCATTGCAGTAAGTGGAGTCCAGGTGTGGGTATGTTAGTCTGAACTTCATTAGTCAGATGTACTTCTAAGGCTGCCTTTGTAGACAGCCTTTGTGGAAAGCTAGATAAGAACTTTAAAGTGAACAATAATGTCCGATTTGTTCCTATTGTAAGTACTTTTTTCTGATAATATAATACTACCCATGATGTTGACCGTCTAGGACCTGTGAAGAGTCTTCCTTCCCATCTTGCCTAGTTTGGGGTAAAGACTGTTCTCATGGCTATCTTTTTTCTCTGAAAGGCTTGGTTCTTCATTTAAAAGAAAGAGAAAAATATAAGGTTTTAAAAACTCTTCTGACTGGAGATAGTGAGGTGAGTATCCTAACAGAAGAGAGAAACATTCTGCTGTGGTTAGGTTTGCCTAGGCTTTGGCATTTGGAGTTACTCGGTGTCTTGGCCTTGGGTTTACAGAAATTTTGTGAGTAGGGGAGGCACATGATTAAGGACCTTTGAAGGGAAACCTATTTTGGTAACATGCTTTGATAACTTTGAAGCAAGGTAAGATTAGAATGGGTAAGAATATTACAGATGCTGTTTCTGTGGTCTCTGCTTGAAATTGTAAGGGTTGTAATCCATTCTAGAATGACATCAGAGCAGTAGAGATGCCTTTAGGAAGGGATAGTATTTGTATCTAAAAACAGACCAAGATGACTAGGAAAATGGCAGCATAGGCGACATAAAAATGTCTGCTGACATTTGTGTGATCTCCATAGGACGTCAGGTAGTGTCAGGTATTGTTACCGGTATCATTTGGCTCTACTAGCACTGTTACCATTCTTGTTTTATGGATTAGAAGACCAGTTCTGAATGGTTACCCAGCTTGCCGAAGGTTCTTCACACAGCTGGTGATATCAACTAAGATGATCTGACACCAAAGACAATTTTCTTTCTCATTCTAATATGTAGCATGTAATTAACCACTTTAATTATAATTTTGGAATCATTTTTGCACATCAGATTTGATGTTTAGTGTCTTTGCAACTTCATATCACATTGCTGCTCATGATTTTAGCTGTTATTAGATGAAACTATTTTCTGAAAGATACTTTCTCCCTTTTCTGTCAGTTATATTTACTGTTTGCAACTCCTGCCCAACCTGTGTTAGTCAACTTCCATTGCTATGACAAATTCCTTAGAAAACAAGCTAAAAGGAGGGAGGGAAGACTTATTTTGGCTTACCGTTTCAGAGGTTTTGTCCATCTTTACTTGGCTCTGGGCCTGAAGCAAGGCAGAATATCATGGTGGCAGGAGCATGTGGCAAGAAGGCTGTTCACCTCATGACAGACAAGAGACAGAGGGAGAGGGAAGAAAGCAGAGAGACACATACATACATACTGAGGACAAGACACACCCTTCACAGGCACTAGTGACCTACATCCTCCAAACATGCACCACTTCTACTATTCTATTCCCCTTGGAATTCATCAATAGATTAATCCATTGATGAAGTTAGAGCCCTCATCATCCAGAGACCTCTCAAGACCCCTCCTCTTAACACTGCTGTGTTGAGGACCAAGCCTTTAATATATACAAGTCTTCAGGGAAAATATATCTAAACCATACTACTCTTCCTCTGGCCCCAAAAGCTCATATCTATCTCATAATGCAGAAATACATTTAGTCTGTCTTAAAGAGTCTTCATAGTGATAATCATTCTAACACTTTTCAAAAGTTCAGTTTCCAAATCTGCTCTGAGACTCAAGGCATCACCTAGCTGTGTGTCCCTAGACATGGAGAAAGGAATTCCCGGGACACCATTTCCTAGGAGACCCTGTGGAACAGTGCCCAGGTGCTCTCTTTTCAAAAGACAGGTTTTCACTTTATACCCTTGAGCCTGCTATAGATGGGGGTCTGACCAATTCCTGAGATTCCCTCAAGTCATCTTTCCTGTTGTCCTCATGCAGAATACTTGGTTTTTGCCTGTAGTCCAGTTCCATCAGCACAGCCTTCCCCTGTCCTGTCAGCATTCTGGTCTTCTCAGTTCCTGTTTAATCTCTGCTTATAGCCTTCTTTGTAGCCAGCTTCTCTGAACTTTTTCAGATTCTTTCTACAAACTACTTCCAAAGGCTTCTGAACCACATGATCAAGTATAGTCATAGCAATGATCCTACTTCTGGGTACCAGTTTTCTATCTTAGATTTTTGTCAGTGTGCAAAATAACCTGTCACACTGGAGGAAAGTTTTTTGGTGCTTGGTTTTACCAGCCTTTAACATGTAGCTTCCATTGGTTTCTGTGAACCTTCCTGTTATTCTCATCCACTGGTTTTCCCTCTTTTTAATATTTATATTCCTATCTTCCCCTCCTTTCTTCTCCCCTTCCATCCTCTCCTGTCTCCTTCCATTCTGGTTATTTTGGAGATGGGCCCTTTGCCTGGGCTGGCCTCAAACTGCAATGATCCTCCTGATATTAGTCTTCCAAGTAGCTAAGATTACAGACTCGAGCCACTGGCGCCTGGTCCTATTTTTTATTACATAGTTAATTCTCAATAGATATTATTTGTGTGATTCCTGGATAGGAAAATGCTCAGTCACTATAATAAATGTAAAACTGTTTGGTATATGTTCAAAATAGTAGTAACCATAAAGAGATGCATAGTAATTGGCAAACAAGAAAATTGCTATTTATGTGTGATGAGATAAGAAGACAAAGAATGACTATGGATTTTTAAGGACCTTTTCAAGGAATAAGAAATTATTATTCCCTTTTTGGAAGTTTTTGGTCCCAAAGAATGTATGATTTGAGCTTTATTTTCTTTTCAGTTTTGCAGTATTGTAGCACAGTGCAACCTAAGCTGAATACCAAATGAGAGAAGTTAATTTCTCAGACTAATTGTGTAAAGTGTGAGTGTGAGTACGGGCAAATGATAACTCTTCATCCTTCATCAGTCCTTCTTAGACTCACTTTTTAGCTTGTTCTGAGAATTCAGTTATTTATTACAGGTGAAAACTTGTGAACTGTAAAATGTGTTCGATGTCAATGTAGTTATAATACACTTTAAAAATGCTGTATTAACTTCTGCATCTTTCTTATGTTTTTTTTCCTTTTTATTTTTTTATGCTCAGCTTTCCGCAGGCAACAAATCAAACATTGTTAGACAAGTTTAAGCATCAACATGAAGATAATTCTTACATTGAATTTCCAGCTGTGATGGAACCTGCTTTTATCATTAAACATTATGCTGGAAAAGTAAAATACGGGGTAAAGGTCAGTAAATGTCTCACCGAATATTCCTTCTGGGCAGTGGTGTGTTCTCATTTATGTCACTGTCCCTGCTGGGCCATCCTCATTGTAGGTTATGTAGTTTCTTGGTCAGTAATATTTAGAGACATTTTATACTAAAATTTAAATTGTACTTTCAATGCATTACTCTCCTAAGTAAAGTTTCTGTTGGTTTCTTTCTGCCCAGCTATCTTTCAGTCTATTCTAATAAACTTTTTTTACAATCTGAAAGAATAGATAGCACTTACATGTCTCATCAAACCCACTTGTACATCCTCGTATTTTGTTGAACTTTTCCTTTCCCTGTATTTATTTGGCCTGATAAAGGCCTCATGTCTTCATGTTCCGTAAGGTGAAGTTGTCAGCTTGTGCTCCTAAAGAATATCCTAAAACTCCTAACTCCTGGGGAGGGGAATCTTCAGAATTTTTTCTTTCTCTGTTGTAGTGGGTGAGCCTATTTCTCTTAAACACTTGACATTTAAGCCTGCCATTTAAAACAATTTCCTGGCTAAGCAGTGAGGCTATGGAGACTAGTGGAGCAGTATGTTTTCTATTGGATCTTGAGGTGTCTTTAAGATGCTCACTTGTCTATTCATCTGTTTACTGATTGAGTTATTATTTCTGTGTTTATTGAACACAGACCATGCATGAAACTCTGCTTAGTGTTTGTAATGACCAAGTGATGGCTCTGTGTACATATAGACGTATGCATACCTTATGTGTGCCTACATATATAAAATGTAAGTAACTGGCTATGCACTGTAAGTAAATGAGTGGGGTCTATTAGAGAAAGTATGAAGCAGCAGCTGTTGAATTTGTAGATCCATGAATACCTCTGTAAGAAACTTTAATTTTGAAAAACGACCAGAAGTAGATGTTACCTTGGCAAGCAGTTGGGATAATGAATTATAGGGCATGAAACAGGAAAAAGTTGATATGTTGAAACAATTGGTAAAAGGTCAGTGCTACTAGATTATAAGGAGCAAATCAGATAGTGACACAAAGTGAATTCTGAGTTGACACAGGTTAATTCCTAAGGGCTTCTAAGCCATGTTAAAGGAGTTTAGTGTTTTTTCCCTTTTCTTTTTGTTTTGCTTTGGGTCAGGGTCTTACTATGTCATCCCAGGTTCTCAGCATTGCAGTTCTCCTGCCTCTGCCTTCTAGGAGCTGGGATTGCTGTTGTGAACCACCACACCTGGCTGTTGGAGTGTCGTTTTTATTGACATTATTATGGGGAGATATGAAAAGACTATAAGCAGAAGATGTGATTTAGTTATTAAAAATTATTTTGATTACTTTGAAGAGAAGGAATAACAGCAAGATTAGAATCTTGGATATCAATTAGGTAGCTTTTTCTTCTCTTTCAGTTTAGGTGACTTGTTAAGGTAGACTGAACACAGGGAGTGGCAGTAGAGATGGGGAAGATCAGGTGATCATGGGATGTCATCCACATACTTCATTGATGGTCTAGATGAGTAAGTATTCACTGGAACTGATGGATGAATTGGAGGTGCTGTGTCCTGAGATGAAATAGACAGGGAGGAGCAAATCTTAGATACAGTTTAAAAAGTAAAACAAAAGCTTGTGTGAGGTGCACAAGAACACACATCTAAAGTGGACAGATTTCTTTTGTGCCTCTTCCCAGCTCAGTTTCCCCTTAGGGGTAACCACCATTGTAACTTTTATCAACCTTGGTTTCACTTATTATTAAATTTTAGATAAGTCTTATGATATATATATACCTGTATATATGATATTTATCTGTGCTATTAAATGGGCTGCAACTAAAGGAGTGACAAAAGGATAAAACCTTGTGCATTTATATAATTATTGGATTAAGTAGGCAAAGAAGAAGTGTCACTGGAGATGAAAAGGGACATTTCATGACAGTAAAGGCAGCCAGTTAACATGGGGCACAATCAACACAAACCATACATACTTTTGTTTCAAAGTGTATGAAGTAAAAGGAGATTAAAGTAGTCCTAGACAAGTCTGCTGTCACTGCTGTAAGTTCTAACACATAGCTCAGTCATTACCAGAACAAGTAGACACAAAAAACCAATCAATACAAATTAAGCAACACTGTTGAGTAACTGACCCACGTGCGATATTACAAGGACAACTATGCAATCATTATGTGTTTAGAAAATAAGCAGAACTCTTTTACATAACCCACGAATCAGAAAGAGAAACCAAAACTTAAATTACTTACTATAATAGATTTTTAAAACTACTATTTTTTTTATTTTTGGCTGTATTAGGGTTTTGAACTCAGGGCCTTGCCTCGCTACCCAGGCACTCTCCCACTACTTTTTGCTTTAAGCATTTTTCGAATAGGTTCTTGCTATTTATGCGCTGGCCCACCTGGACTGTGATTTTCCTCATTATGCTGCCCACGTAGTAGGGATGACAGTTGTGTATCACCGTACCAGGCTTTTATTGGTTGATATGGGATCTTGCAAACTTTTTTTTTTTGCCAGAGCTGGCCTCAAACCTTGATTCTCCTGATCTCCTCCTCCCAAGTAACTGGGATTACAAGAGAGGGCCCCTGTACCCAGCCTAAGTCTAATGTTTCAAGCTGAATAGTGATGAAATAAAGCATGTTAAAATTTGAAGAATACAGTTAAATCTAGTATTTGGAGGGAAATTCATAACTTTAAAGATGGTCAACGAAAAGCTGAACGCTTCATCTCAAGAAAAGCTAGGTTAAGGAATAGTGAATTTAAACCCAAAGGAATTAGGGGAAGAATATAATAAACATCAGAATTTAGTGCAGTGCAACAGCAGATGTAATCATCAAAGCAAAAAGAATATTAGAAAAATAACTAGTAGAAAACTATATACAAATTACAGAAGACAGGAAAAACAAGGGTACTTTAAAACTACACATTCCTACATATATGTAGATGGGTGGGAATGTATTTTGTCAATAAATTTGAGAACATATATAAAATGGATAAATTCCTTTAAATTATACTTTACCAAAACTTATACCAGAAAGAATAAGAAAACCTAAAAATCAAAACTTTTATACAAAGCAAATCTTAAGCCCATGTGGTTTCACTGGCTAAGCCTTCCAAACATTTAGTTATTATCAGTACTATATATCCTCTTTGAAATTGGAGATACCTTTGAGAAGTATAAATGGATCCTAGAAATAACAGGAAAATATGAGCTGTAAATACACATTTGGGCCTCATCAGATAGTGTTTAAAGTCATATTATGATTGTGATCACCTGATGTAAGAGGATTACATGAAAAACTGAATATATAAGATCAAACTCAACTTGAATTTCTAGAGTGGACTGTGAAGGGCAGCACAAGAGGTAAGTAGTAAACCAAACCATAAAGTGTGTTCTTGTGGAAACAAGGAGACAAGGGCTGAAGGGGAAAGGTGTGGTCAGTTTATAAGGTAGTTAGAATCTAGAAATACAGAGAGAGACCATTTAATTTGGAAAATGAAGGTCATTCATGGTAATGGACAAGTCGTAGAATTTTAGATTGTACCGTGTAATTAATAGAATTGAGATGGTCTTTTATGTTTTTAGTTGTTGTACTTATCTTTTTGACATTCGTATTATCATTAAATTATAATCTGTGATTGAGTCTATCCTTTGAGTAATTGTTAGAACTGGATAAATAATATAAAGTACATAAGTTAGTACCTGACACCTTGATAGTGCCTGTCATCATTAGGTTTTAACCGATGGTGGTGGTGGTAATTTGGATTTGAAAGCTCTACTCATTTTATTAACCTGGTTTAATAAAATTTATGTAAGGGTATTAGGGACAAGCCAAGGATCAAATTCCTGGCTTGTTTCCTCTTTTCCCTTGTTCTCAGGAGGAAGAACTAGGAAAAGAAAGCCCTGAGGTAATAGGATAAAGCTGATGGCTATGTATGAGGATAAATGGCATCATAGTTGGTGCTTTCCTCATAAAATTCTAAATCAGAAGCTGGGAGTGGTGGTGCAGGCCTTGTATCCCTGCACAGGCAGGAATTGCAGGAGTTCAAGGCCAGCCTGGGCAACTTAGCAGGATCCTGTCTCAAAAAAAAAAAAAAAAAAAAAAAAAAGCTCAGGTGCAGCCCATGGCTCATGCCTGTAATCCTGGCTATTTAGGAGGCAGCGATCAGGCAGTTTGAAGCCAGCCCAAGGCAAATAGTATGTGAGATACTATCTCAAAAGAACCCAACACAAAACAGGACTAGTGGAGTGGCTCAAGTGATAGAGCGCCTGCCCTGGCAAAGCCTAGCAAGCATGAGGCCCTGAGTTCAAGCCCTAGTATTGCCCCCCCCCCTCCAAAAAAATAGAGAGAGGTACTCATTGCATGCAGCTGCATCAGCTTGGAATGTTGTACTCACCACATTTTATTGGTCCATTTAGTGTGAATGTAGTTGTAAGATTATAATCAGTGCCTAAACTGTAAATATCACCTTGTTCTAGTGTGTAAGCATCTTGCCTGCCCATATTTCTATGGAGTATTTTAATCTATTTTCTTCTGCCCTAGCCCATCTATCCCTTATCCTTCGGCAGTTAGTTGTTCTAGCTTTTAAATGTCTGTATGCTGATAATATCTGAATATATTTCCTGATATCCCCTAGGACTCCAGATTCACGTACCCATCTATCTACTTTGTGTTCAAATGCAGACATAGTGGTTATTTGTGACTGTACTTGACCTCTGCTCTTCCATTTATTGTGTGACAGGAACCAAGATGTTTCACCTCTCTGCAGCTCAGTTTCCTCATCTATAAAATGAAGATAATAACATCTGTCTCAAAGGGTTATTAAGATGAAATGAGATAATATATACAAAGTATTTAGAAGAGTGCCAGGCACGTGTTACTATGGTAACATCAAAACAGTTGTTGCTACCATTACTATTATCCTCATCCTCACCATCTCAGTCTTTACTTGGACAAAACTGATCTCCTGATGCTCATTTCCTGTCCCCAGACCTTCTCTATCTGTAGTCTTCTCCATGTCAGTTTATGGTATCTATGTAGTTACTCAAACCCCAAATAAAGATAGGAACCTAACTCCCTCATTTTTCTTTCTACACCCTAGTCCTTCAGCAAGTCCTTTGAACAAGCCCCAAATATGATAACTTTTTCATTTCTTCTGTTGCCAGCTATGTAGTGCAAGTCACTGTCAGCTTTTACCTAGTTGTGTCAGTATCTCTTCTCCCTTTTTCTGTTCTTCTCTGTTGTGTTCATGAAACATCAAGTGCCTGCTGCCATTACCTTTCCAGTGGCTGTGCTTTTGCAGTTGAATAAAATAAAATACAACTCCTAGCTCAAGCTTACAGCTCAAGTTTATAAATAGCCTACATATGCTGTGTATTTGCCTAATTTTCCACCATTCTCACCTTTTGACAACTACATTGTGTGGCATGGCCTTGCTGCTCTTTTCATGACCTGTCCAGCTCATCACCACAGGGGGCAGGTGAGGTACACCTGTGCTTGGAATGCTTGTCCTTGTCTTCTCATGTCTGGCTCCTTCTTCTTTTCCATCTCTCATCATCTCATGGATACCCTTCTCTGGAGGTGTACCTTTTATAAATTCACAAATAAACAAAGTGTCCCTCATCACTGCTTAATAAGCTGAAATAAGGTTGTGGGTGATTTACTCTAATTTCCATTTATTATGAATTCAGTAGTTTTAGGATTGGCTGGCACTTTGTGGAAGATACCTGGTCTGGTTAGCCACCAGAATAGAAGTCAGTCCTGTCATTTTTAGTCACCCACTGTTCAAACATGTCACCCAGCACCTTCTTGATTTTTAATAGTTATTTCACCAATAACACACTTTTTTCACATAGGATTTTCGGGAAAAAAATACAGATCATATGCGCCCAGACATTGTAGTTCTTCTGAGAAGTAGCAAGAATGCATTTATCTCTGGGATGATTGGAATCGATCCTGTAGCTGTTTTCCGATGGGCAGTTCTCCGAGCTTTCTTCAGAGCCATGGTTGCTTTTAGAGAAGCTGGCAAAAGACACATTCAGAAGAAAACTGGTAAGCAGTGGTTGCTGGTATTCTACCATGCTTCAGTTTTTATTTTTTTGACCTCTCATCCACAAGGAGTGTAGTCAAAATAATTTTTATTTTGTTCTGTTTTCTTACTATACTCTGATATAAGTTTCTGATCTAAGTTGAATATACTTTATATCATTAAATGTGTTTTGTATGAGCAGATATGTGTTGGTATATTTTTATTAATAAATAGTGATAGGAATAATGAATGTAAAGCACCTTGTCCTTAGTAGGCACTCAGAGTCATTGGTATGATTTTGAATAAAAAGTAGTCCTGTAATAATGTAGAATTTAATTTTGATGCTTTTCTCTATTTTGTTTTTACACCTGTTTTTACTGCAAATGCAGTCATAATTTAATACAAAAATGTAAATTAGGAGAAAGAAAAGTGGAAATGAGGATAGTGTAGCACAGTGGGAAGAACCCCTGCTGTAGTGTCAGCTATCTCTTGATTGATTTGTGATTTAGACCAGGTTTGTTTTTTTTTTTTCTCTTATAAACAAGTTAACACTGCAACTGTTTATGAAGTGTTTGCTTTCTTTTTCTCTTACTGATAACTTGGTTTATTGGGTTTTTACTTTGAAATGAAGAAAGGAATATTTCTTTCTCCTGAAGCCATAACATACTCCATGTCAGGAGTATGTCCATGTCAGGACCTCTTCATAAGCACTGTGGCCTACTGGAATCTTCACAGTTGCTTGCTGTCACTCTGGTCCTATCTAGCCCACTGTGCACAGTGAGGATTTTCTAATACACGCAGTCAACATGCCTTCCAGAGTGCTCCCTTGTACTTCCATGGTTCCCAGATTGGCTTATATGACTTTTGAGAATTTGCACTAGCAATAAAACTTTAAATTCAGCTTTTAAATATTTGAAATGAATAAATACACTTGGGAGATATATTTCTAAAATGAGAGACCAAGTAATTAAGCTTAGTTTCTGCTTTTTAGATTGTATTGTGTGTGAACTGGTCTTGGTAAATAGGGAGAAATACAGCCTTTTGGAGAAATAAAAGGGCTACCTCAAGCCTGCTTTGCCTTTTATAAAATGATTTATAAGCAGTTATGTTTCTTGAAAAAGCCTTAAGGAAAGCTTTTTCCTTTCAGATGCTTTCTTATTTATTATGACAGACATCATAAAATCATTCAAAGTTGGTAAGCATCCTGCTATGATGGTCTTGATTAAGAACAGAAGCTCTTCTTGTATGTACTGTGAGATATGTCAATTTCTACAATTTTGCATTGCCTACATATGCTGCTTTGGCATGTGAAGTCTGTTATTTGTGCAAGCCAACTGTTTTATGTCTGTTATACATGCAATGTCATTAATGATAAAGCGACAACTCGTAATTAGCTTGATAATATTTAGATTCTGGTTTATGAATGTACCTTTTCTTTCTGGGTAGTATATCCAAACTTATGTATAATCATTTCTTTTTGAAAACTTTTATTGTAAAATGTAAAGCTCAGTGTAGTATTATAAAGTGGAAAAAACCTTTGGAATTACCACCTAGGTTAAGAAGTAGAACTAATACCCTGGAATATTTTCTGCAGTAAACTTGAGTAAATGGCCTTTTAATTAATTGGCAAGAAACATCCTAAAAGTGAAAACATCTCCCCTGCCTCACATTTCTTCAGTGAATTCCCTCATACTCTGTTGTCTTCTGAGTACACCTGAGAATACCAAATTAAAATATACTTTATATGTTTTTTGGGAACAGACTTCCAAATTAAGGACAACAATGCCACTTTAAGTCCTGTGAATAAAAAATTATTTCTACTATTTTTGAGAAAACTTATTATAATTCTAGATAGTGTACTGTGGTCACCAGGCTATTTGAAACCAGAAAACCTTCTTAGTGGGTATTTTCAGTAACTTGTTGGCTCTGATAAAAGGTGGAATGAGGAATGGTAATGACTTGTCTTGTCAGCAGTGAGTTAATGGAGAACAGATTTTCAGTTGTGTTACCCCCCCACCTTTGCCTCTGATTTACTCCTCCTGAATAAGGATTTCTGAGCCTGTAGTAGAGAGTGCTATTTGAGGATCATGAGAAAGAGTATAGGGGAGATCATAACTTGACCATAAATTACATGGCATATTGAACTAAGCATAATGATGCTTTATTTGGTTCTCCTGGAGTTACATAAAAAGTCAAAGAATTCACCTTTGACATTGGGATAAAAGGCACGAACAAGAGAGTCCAGAATGTTACCATGTTCTTTATTAACAAGGAGAGAAGCAGAGATTGCACATATAGCGTCTGCAGATAAGAGAGTTTTAATGATTCCCGTGTAACCTATTCTCTTCACCAGCCTACTCAATGAACTACACAACTCTAATGTGCTCCCTTCTTTCTTCTGCAAGTGATAGTTTTGGAGGTCATTTATTTTCAAATCCGACCAGGTGGTAAAACTGATTTTGGTATTACCATAGGTCTAAGATTTTTGTGCAGTACTTTGTCCACAGTTATATGTACCTAGTATCCAAGGGAAGTGAAATAGATTTTTGTTAACAAACAGCAACAAAAACCCCTGATCATTATTTATTAGTTACTTCTGTATTGGGCACTGTAGCCTGGTGGTTAAGAGTAGGGGTTTAGGATTAAGCTGGGATAAGACTCACTGAAAATTATGTCTTCTATGAGAGCAACAGAATGCTAGTGAAAATGGCCATTCTGAGCACAGTGGCTGATGCCTGTAATCTTATCTACTTGGGTGACAGAGCTTAGGAGGATCACAGTTTGAGGCTGGCCTGGGCAAACAGTTAGTGAGACCCCTATCACAACCAATAAGAAGGTGTGTGTGGTGGTAGTGGTGCATGCCTATCATCCCAACTGCATGGGAAACATGAATAGGAGGATTGAAACCCAGGCTGGCCAGGCATGAAAGCAAGACTATTTGAAAAATACCTAAAGCAAAAAGGGCTGATGACTTGGCTCAAGTGATAGAGTGCCTGCCTAGTACAGCCAGGACGTGAGTTCAAACCCCAGTACTGCCAAAAAAAAAAAAAGGGAAAGAAGAAAATTGACAGAATGACTGTCACAACTGTGGAAAACTAATCAGAGGGTTATGGTAGTCTAGAAATGTTTATAAAAGAAAAAAAGCTGAATATCAATAAAGAAAATATACTTTGTGGCATTTTCGTGTGCACTATTCACATCCCTTTCTTCCCAGCTCCATAGTAGCCCTGAAAACCTGCACTGTGGCAACCACCAGAGGGAGTAGAAGGCTTAGAGCTCCTGTTGGGTGATTCCTCTAAAGACCTCGATTGTAAAGGCTGAATTTATTTAACCCAAGTTAGAGTTTGCCCACTGTGAACAGACTTGGCCCCAGGAGCATTGCTAAAAACAATCAGAATCAGTTGATTATCACAGCCACTTGAAACAGGAGATAACAGTTGGAGCAAACAGTGGCCTAACCAAACAGCTTAAAAGGAAAAGCAGGATGCATTGAGGCCCTGCATTCAATCTCCAGTATCAGAAAGGGAGAGACTAGACCAACAAGTTCCTGATCTCTTACCTCTGAATAACTTGTAGGAGTTCTGAAAGCAGGAAGTGAAGGACAAGGCAGAATTATAAGCTGCTAAAGAGAGTTGTTGAGGTATACCTTAGTATACACTCATTGATCCTTGATAAAGCTTGGGAGATGTTTACTGCATTTGGGAAGTAAGGCTATCACTTTCAAACATTAGCTGACCATTAAAAACTGAGTGGAGTCTTATGTGGTCACAAAGATTATGAACTTTAAAGAATTACTTCAGGAAAGTCTTAAAGACAAACAAAACAATAACAAGTAGTAACAAGAACAAATTCTGGGGCTGAAGGAAGAATCTTATATCCAGAGTGCCCACACTGTACAATTTCATATGTCCATGACACGTATGAGGAAATGAGAGTGTGAGCTGCGCAGAGTAATTGATAGAAACTGTCTCTGGAAAGCCAGCTACTGAACGGCAGAAAGACTTTGAAATATTTCAGAAACTGAAAGGCAACTATGTCTGAAGAACTTGGAGGAAGATAAGAGACTGTCTCACTAAGTAGTTTTAATAAAGAGAGAGCAATTACATAGTACAAATATGTAGTCACACATGAGAGGCAGTATAAATTTTTTTTTACATTTTATAAATCTTTTTTCCCCTTTCAATATGGTTGAAAAAGTACAATTACTGAAATGAAAATTCACCAGAGGAGTTTAATAACAGATTTGAATAGGCATAAGAAAGAGTACGTGAACTGAAAGATCAATTGAAAGTATCCAGCTTAAAAAAGATAAAAAAGAATGAAGTAAAATGAACAAAGCCACAGAGACCTATTTATTGGACATCATCAAGTTTATCAATTTCTGGGAGTCCAGAAGTAAAGAAAAGAAAGGGGCAGAAACAATTTTTGAAGAAGCCATGGCTGTAAGTGGCTCCAGTTCAATGAGAAAGCATTAATCCAAACATCCCAGAAGTTCATCAGCATGCAAGGAAGGTGGCTTCAAAGAGCTCCAAATAGAGATGCACCATCATTAGAGTGTCCAGTGGTAAGGAGGGTATCAGAGCAGCAAGGGAAAAGCGATTTGCATGTGTGAAGCATCTTCAGTGTGGAAAGAAAAACCGTTAGTCGGTGTCCAGTGCAACCATCCATCAAGATGATAGTGAAATTAAGACACTGCCAGATAGATGAATCCTAACTGACTATTACTAGCAGCCCTGCCCCAAAGGGAGTTCTTGTGTTCTAAATGAAAGAACAGTAGATAGTCACTTGAATACACATGAGGAAATAAAGAGCACTATTACAAGCAACCACAAAAAGACAGGGTAAAAGTACCTGTTGTAATTTTTCCTCCAGTCTGATTTGAAAGACAGTTGCATAAAGCAATAATTAGAATTCTTTGTGGATGGACATACTGTAAGATATTAATTCCCTTGGCAAAATTAAGTAAATAACTAAAAAATAATAAGATTGAGTGTATACTAGAAAACATGAATTTAATACAAAG